AACACAAATAATGAAAAAAAAATATTTCAGTATTAGTTAGTGGAAGCTACGATATGTGTATGCGTGGTGAACAGTAACAGCTATAATCATACGGGAAATTATGAGATGTTCTTAAAAAAAAATGTTTATAGCCAAGATGATCAGTTAACTTGATTGAACAACACTAAGCAATCATAAGATAAACATTTCAGGTGTTTTTTTGTCAGTACTAATGCGGTTGTTTGTAGTGGCAGTGTGAGGAATCATGCATAATACAAAATTTTTTAAGATGGTGATAGTGGCAATAACAAACAAGATTGTCAGTTAAATAGTGCCGAACAAAGAACAACCACAAAACTAATGTTACATGATGGTTAATGACGGGACAATTTTTAATAATCATAGTGATAATATAGTCGGACCCAGTAGATGTACAAAGAAGGAGTAGAATAAAGAATAAAAATGTAAGCCAATGATAGTAATTTTAAGCAGCTAAGTATGTTTAAGAAGGTTGTTCACTATAGAGTACAAATAAGAGAGTGTAAGGGGGAAAAAAAACAAGGGCCAAAATTCTGTTATTAACAACAAAGCAAGTCATAGGTTTCACGTCTAACATTGTCCCTGTCACTTAGAACACGAGCCAAATATGGTATCGTTGAGTTCCTGTACTTGGTTGTGCGAGCATATATTATTTTATACTGATTTCTGGTTCTACCTGATGAGATGCAGGGAGAGAGTTGTGAATAGAGGGGGTGTTGGGGGTCAGAGAGTATGGTTTTAGACCATTTCTCACATGTATTCAGATGCTTATCCACTAATGTTGTGACGAGCTGACTGAGTTTTACACCGCTAGTCCTGCTAACTACCTTCAACATCCTTCTCAGGATGGTATAATCCTTTTTCAGTAACCCAGGAAAGACTAACGGGGAACAGTAAAGTAGAATAGGTAGGATACGAGAGTTGACAAATTGTGTAAGCAGAGGTTGAGGGACTCCAGTTAGTCTGAGTTTCTTAATGTAGTAGGTTAGACGAAACACTTTCTTGGAAATCATTTGGATATGAGATGACCAAGTAAGGTCGGAAGATATAACTAATCCGAGGTATTTTGCATTAGACTTTGTTTCAATTATAGTCCCCTCGATTCTACAGACATCATGAGTGCTTACTAGTGTTTGTAGATCTCGTTTATGCCTAAAGGAGAAGTCGACAGTCTGATTGATAACTATAACATCCACAGGAATGACAGAGTGGACAAGAGAGGAGGCGGCTGTCTAATATATGCCTCTAAATCCACTGACTCCAATACCTTTACAAACCTAACTATCGACAAACTCCCAGAATCCAATTGGATAAGCACCCACGCGAATGAAAATAACATTCTGGTGGGATGTATATACAGAGCCCCTAACAGCCCTATAACGACTGATACGGTTATCGGAGAAATACCAGAGGTTGTACCTAAGCTGGAATTCGACTACAAACTAGTTTGTGGCGATCTCAACCTCCCTGGAGTGAACTGGGATACCTGCACTGAACCGAGAACCTACGAGGTGATCCTAGAAGCCATAGATGTGGGAGGATGGAAGCAGTGCGTACGCCTCCCAACACGACACAACAATATTCTCGACTTAATCCTCTGTCACAAAATAGAGCCGATCTCGATAGAGGTGAGGGATAAACTCGACAACAGTGACCACAACATACTGTACTGCACCCTACCCTTACAACTAACAACTAAACACACACCTAAGAGTTCCCCGGTTTACTATCAATATAGGGACTATCGAAATGCCGACTGGGAATTCCTACCAATGCTCTTGAGAAGCTCAGACTGGGGTGAATACTTCACCAATAATAACTTAGAAGTAATACTAAATACCTTCTACAAGACAATCAGTTCGGTAAGAGACACAATCGCACCCCTTAAATCTGCCCTAAAGACACCAACTCTATTCATAGACCGCAAAACGCATAGAAGACAAACTGAAAGTAGAAGGAGTACAGAGGTACTTCACGCGAAAAGTACTCGGAACCGATAACGGCACAAACTACTCTACCAGATGTGAAATCCTAGGACTAGAAACATTATGGTTAAGGCGACTGCGACTAAATCTGGTACTCTTCTATAAGCTTCTTAACCGAATAGTGTATACCCCTGCTAACTATACTCGGTTCTCAGGAGACACAGGATACAACCTTAGGCACACTGAAGGTACAGTGGCTATAGAACCATGTAAAACAGCCACCAGGCAAAAGTTTTTCTTGATTAGGTATGCCCAAATATGGAACAAACTACCTGAGAAAACGCGACTAGCAAGCACATTGGCCTCCTTTGAAAAGGCACTTAATGACACACTAAGTGAGTTTGTAATTGATACCAATGGTAATTCCCATGTAAGAGTTTCAGAAATCATAGGCCCATTTAATGTATGAACTCAGAGACTACACCTGTTGTTTGTTTTGTCTCTATTTATAATTCCAGACAAAAAAGCAGCAGTCATGACAATAACACCCATTCAAGCAAGAGTCGATCGAACTGTGTCTACCTGATACAAAGGGTGAACCATAACCAACATACGAATGAAATATGAGAAAACAAGGTAGAAACTTACCGCAACACCACATGAAAAGATAAAAGTTACTTGAACATCATTTGTAATCCACTAACTGGTCTCCTTCCCAAAAAGAATGCGGCGATGCTTTATCCAAAATGGCGAGGAAATACATAAATCCACATCTGCTGTTGTAAACACTCAGTGATGGTAGGAGCCAACAAAGTAATCCATACAAAGCATATGTATACTTCAAATGGACGCAGAGACTCTATGCGGAATACGTCATAATCCAAACCACTGCCTATACAGAGCCAATAAACCTGGATATCTATGATATAAAGAAAACATGCAGAAAGCTGCATCTCAGATCAAGTTGATTCATTCGATGGTAATGATCTGCTCCTGCATGCCTTATTCGACATATTGAATGGAATGGTTCGCAGTTATTCTGGTACCAGATCGAAAAGAATAAAAAATTCACCGGTTGCTGAATCAAAAGTACTTCTCTGCATGTTTAACTGTATTCTAACTGCTAACTGATTAATTCCAAACCATTTATCTGATAATCACTCAAATTCCAGGAACGATCCAGTTCTACCATTTGAAGACGCTGACGAACATGCTGTAAATGAGTATTCATGATCTGAAATGAAGAAGCAACTGGCTTTCAACATTTTACTCAACTTACGAGTACAGTCCGCCATGCAGACACAAATGGCGCAAATGGAGAATTCTGGAATCGACCTCGGGACCATTTGATGCAGTAAAACAACCCAACATGACCTTATCTAGTTTTCGCATCCACGATCAAATTTCTTTCCTGTCATAAAACTACGATAAGACTGCTGAAAAATGGAATAAATATATCACTGATCTCAACATAATACATCAATAATCTTTAAGCCAAGGGTGCTGTTCACAACAAAGTTATATAGGGGAATTGACTTCAAGCTTTATTTTTCCCATATATCTGTATTACATTCATGTGATGTCTGGGTTTTTTGTTAATGCGAAGACAATATTTCTATATCTCTTTATGTGCTACATAAACAGACTTTATAGCAGACTGTTCCGACTGACTCTAATGTCAGAAAGAACAACCAAACTGTAAGTCCATTATACATCAAATTATGTGTAATTTATATGATAACTTATCCATGCCTGTACAATAGGTATGTTCCTGCATAAACAGGAAGGAATATATTATTATTATTAAAACAATATTTATGCATGCCTATACAATTGGTGTACCCTACATAGCTAGGGAAAAAATGTACTTTATTATATTATCTTTACTAAATATGCTTATTAATCTTATGTGTAACTTATCGAATTGATGATGCCTGTAAACTGGCGTCCCTCATGTAAAAAATGAGAATATATATTATTATTTGAAAACTATAGCATATTCCCGGGCGGTGGCTGCACGTAGTTTCAGGTCCTTATGAGCAACTCGCAGAGCCTTTAGTGGAATCACCAGAGATATGTTCACCTCCTTATATACATCTCTGGGATGGTCGAGACTGGGAATTGTATCCAGGCAGCCAGGCCTTGTCTTAAAGGGGACTCACACATTCTAGAAAGGGTTCAAACGAAAACGTATAGTTCTCGGCATGAATAACTTATCATACGAGGAAAGACTAGACAGTTTAAGTCCCTTTCCCCCTGTCATACTGTAAACAGAGAGGAGATTTAGTCACAATGTTTAAAATTTTAAATAGTGCATACGGACCTGACCTACTCTCTATTTCCCTTCTCAGCAGACTGGAACACCTCAGAGGAAAAAGCAGGAGAGTTATAAAGCCAGGAAGAAATCGTATTGCTGTTGATTACTGGTTCTGTGGTGGACCTTTCACTCTGTTAGCTTAGTAACCCAAATTCAAGTAGAAAATAAAATACCAAATCAGCTTAGTTACGGGAAGAATATATTAAAGTTTCGTTACTTGGTTTACAAAGTTCCAAAAATCCACAATAAACGTAATAGGCTCCGGAGGTGCTGCGGAAAGACTGCTGCAGTACTAATTCTCCAATTTTGACGTTGCCGGAGGTCGATCAAAGTACGTAGGAAGAAACTACGGTGCTCCTGCAAAAATTTGAGATAGAAAGCAGGTGATTAAAATTGATCGACGGCAGTTGAGACGGTGGAGAAGACGGAGAGTCCGAGTCAGAACTATATATTTATTCAAAACTCGAGGTAAAGTTCAAAGTACAGAGTTTATGGTTAAAACAAGGTGATGTACAATATGTTCATTTCTTACATAGTAGTAAAATTTGGATAAGTTTATTTTGAGGACTCCACAGTTCTCACACCGAGTCATAAATTATTGGAACCGACTCTCAGAAGAAGCGGTGTCTGCAACCTCAACTGATTAGTTCAAGAAGGGTTTGGACAACAACAGAAATTTACCAGAAAATAATGAACATTCCTGCCAAGCCTTCTGAAATCATAACCTGACCTTGAAATGTGGCGGATATCCAAAGAGTGGTTGTTATAGAAACACATCATTGATTTTAGAGATGAGTGAAGAAGAAGAATCACCGAAATCGCAGAACGTATTTATCAGTGAATTAGACTGTTATGTTGGGAAAAATATAGGAAAAGTTTGTTGAAGTGCATTTCTAAGTTGTATGATAAACAAAGTATTTAGCAACACAAACTCCTGGTGTTGGAGTTGATGAAGCATATCAAGAAGTGGATATATCAGCCGATAAACAGTGGGAACCGAATGGACCTCCTCCACCCAAGAAAAACTGTTTCCTAATAAGTGGAACCCTTCGTTACACCTCGTCAAGCAAACCGAAATTCGCAAAAGAAGTTTTAAATGTGACTAAAAAATTCACTTGGAACTAACATTTATATATTTTGGCAGTATGAAGAACGTCAGAGATTTCTCGAACACCTGCTAGAATTTGATGCCATTATATATGATATAACCGAGAATCCTGAGCAAATAGAAGAAGTTTTATGGCTTGTGGAATCTTTGGAACAGAGGTCAGAAGAATTTGTTACGCAGAAAAAATTCTTCTTAATCAGCAATTTAATGAGCTGGCCCATGACAAAGCCAAGTGATCCGGTTAGTTGAGTAGCAAGCATGTTTTTTCTTCAAAATAATGGTTCATTCTGCTTTTGTTGTTTAAACCACATCAGAAGCTTTTAGTTCGCTTTAACTGATTTATTTAGTTCAAGTGTTGTCTGTTTTATTCACATTTTGTGTTTTGGTTGGTATTTACCTAGCTGTCACACGTATATATAAGTGTGTATTTGTTTGGCATTAACCTCACTGTTTTGACGTATATATAACTGTATAGTTGTAACAAATTAAAATTATGGCCCCAACTAACAATTGTGGTCGACCGGACTGCCACTTTCCGGTGGATGATGGGATGCAGTGTGACAACTGCAGCCTTTGGTTCCACAAAGTTTGCACTGGTTTAACACCAGTAGCCTATAAGAGATGTTGCAAGCCATCATCTCCATGGCTGTGCAAATTTTGCAGCAACCCGTTAGATGTCCTCATCCAAGAGGCAGTAGGACTCTTGATGTCCAAGAAATTGTCGAAAGACATAGTTGAAAAGCCTGTACCAGAAACCTTCGCCAAGGATGGCGGTTCAGGACATAGTTGTAAGATTCAGGGTGCATCACCTCCTGAAGTCTCAGAAGCGAAAGAAGCACAAAATGCCCAGACATCTGTTGCTGCAAAGCGCAAAAGGCAACGGAAATCCAGAAGGGCAAGTAGTGCCAGCATGGCAAAACCAGCCTGTGAAATAGCAACGCCAAAGCGCAGCGTGTCTAGTGCACGAATGGCTTCTAGTCGCGGCGAAAACAGAGTGGGAGAAACGGACTCCACTTGGTTGCTGCCGAAAGGTAAGAAGCTAAACAAAACTAGGAAAGAAACAGTAGCCGAGTTTACCAACAAGGTCTCGACGACTGTTAGTTCCAGCAAAACTCAGAAACCCACGGACTCTAGTTACAGTATAATCATCTGGAACTTGGAGGAATCTAAGAACACAGATCCAGCTGCCCGACATGCAGATGATCTGAAGGCGATCAGCTCCATATTCCGGGAAATACTTCCCGAAAAAACAACTGGAGTACACGTACGAAAGGCTATCAGGATCGGAAAACGAAACCCTGATGCTACAGGAACTCCTCGACGACTACTTAAGGTAGTTTTAGGGAACGAAACAGAGAGGAGGACCATCCTCGACAACGCGTTCAAAGTCAACGACAAAAGTCTAAAAATAAGGCCTGATTGGCCTTTGGAAGATAGAATCAAAAGAAGAGAAGCCGTGGCTGAACTAAAGGCCAGGCTAGAGAAAGGCGAGAAGGACCTCAAACTATTGGGTTTTCGGGTGGTGAGGTCTCGGAAACCGATGCTGCCGAGACCTCTCTTCATAAGCCGGGTGAACACGTAGGTGTTTCGGTGTGCTATACGAACGCATGTAGTCTTAGGAATAAGCTCGCCGAATTAGGAGAGTTATCTGAAAGACTACAACCTGATGTAATTGCTATCACTGAGACGTGGTTGTTAGTGGGTGTAGACTTAACTCCACTCATACCTGGGTATATCTGCATACGAGCAGACAGAGTAAGTAGTCGGAAAGGTGGGGGGGTTGCTCTTTACATCCGGGATGACATAGGGATCAGGTCAACGTTGTCAGAAGCTCATGACAGCGGCACCAGTGAAGCCGCAAGTTGCATCATTAACTTAAACAAAGGCACTTTAACGATCGGAGTTATCTACAGAAGTCCTGCTAGCCAAGCTGATGACTTCGTTCTAAATCACTTGAGGGCGTGGGGTAGTAGAAATAGGTGTCTGATTGTTGGCGACTTTAACGCTCCACATATTAATTGGGGGGAATTAAACTCCACTAGTTTGTATACCTGTTTCAATAGGGAGCTCACATTGACAGTGCTTGAATGTGCACTCGTGCAACATATGCATGCACCAACACGGTATCACCCTGAACATGATCCATCTACTCTAGACTTGGTATTGACACACCAGAAGGAGGACGTTGGTAACATTAGGTGCCTCCCGCCGCTTGGCAGCAGTGACCACATAGTCATTGCTTTTACGTTTAGGATTCATTCTCTCATGCACAGGCCAAAATCTGCTCGTCCAAACATTTGGAAAGCGGATATACAAGGAATCCGGAACGCAGCAACTGTGGTTGACTGGTCAGTTGATACAAGTCAGACTGTCGAGGAAGCTTGGGTAGGATTTAGGAATACACTAGATCGTGTCACTTCACCTTTTATACCTTGGTACACTCCTCGAAAGCCGTCGCATGAACCTCCTTGGATCACTAGTGAAATAAGGAGGTTATTAAGACGGCGAAAGAACTTATGGGACCAATTTGTTATGACAGGAAGGGAAAACTTCCAGAAAGACTACCGCAAAATTCGAAACCTCTGTAAGTATGCGATTAACAAGAGTCGTATAGAGTACGAGAGACGATTAGTACTAGATTGCGTTCATTACCCAAAAAGGTTTTACTCGTATATTAAACGTAGGACTAAAACTAGCAGTGGTATACCGTCACTCATAACCATTAGTGGAGAAGCGGCTGAGTCAGACGAAGGGAAGGCTGAAAACCTCTCTGAATACTTCTGTGACGTCTTCTCGTCTGATAGTACCACCCAGGGATATGGCGAGGTCACTGCCATCGCCACTCAGATGCCCTCAATTGTGGTAGAGCACACAAAGGTTCTGAAACTACTGTCTAAACTGAAGCCAGGTAAATCACCTGGGCCGGATGGACTCCACCCTAAGTTGTTACTTTCCTTGGCGGATATAATATATATTCCGCTTACGGAGATTTTCCAAATGTCTCTGACGCAGGCTAAGCTACCCAGGGACTGGAAGGATGCCATTATAAGCCCTATCTTCAAGGACGGGGATAGGCAATTGGTATCTAACTACAGGCCGGTAAGTCTGACATGCATTATTGCAAAGGTACTGGAAACTATTATAAGGGATCAACTATTAGCTTATGTTGAAACACATGGCTTGTTGGCTGTGGAACAGCATGGATTCCGACCAGGACGATCCTGCTTGACAAACCTACTATTGGCTAGGGAAGACTGGGTTGAGGCCAGAGATAGGGACCATCTGTTGGACGTGGTTTTTATTGATCTTAGCAAGGCGTTCGACAAAGTATCCCACTTAGGTCTCCTTAGTAAACTGAAAGGTTTCGGACTAGACCAATGCCTATGTGAGTGGTTTAGAGATTACTTAATGGATAGAAGGCAGAAGGTTAGAGTTAATGGTGTACTATCAGGATGGAAAGCAGTATCCAGTGGAGTGCCCCAGGGAACTGTATTAGGTCCATTGCTATTCCTATTATACGTTAACGAATTACCAGGGATTCTTTCTTCATCTTCATTATTATTTGCAGATGACATTAAGGTATGGAAAACTGTAAACAATAACGAGGATAGGTTGGCCCTACAAACTGACTTAGATAAATTAGCTGAGTGGTCAAGCCTATGGAGTTTGGAAATGAATGCTAGGAAAAGCGCGGTAATGCACTTAGGTCAGAAGTCTTATACGTCGTACTCCCTAGGGGATGCAGAACTACCTGATGTTAAAGAACAGAAGGACCTAGGAATCATTGTCAGCAACGATTTGAAAACAACTGCAAATTGCAATGCAGCCGCAGCTAAAGCTTTTCGAATGCTATGGGCAATTCGAAGGGCTTTCAAACGATTAGACGAGGGCATGTTCCAAATACTCTACGCAACATATGTCAGGCCTCATCTAGAATACTGCATACAAGCGACGAGTCCATGCTTCAAAAAGGAGGCACATATTCTGGAAAGAGTACAGAGAGTAGGAACAAAATTAGTTAGTGGTATCTCACACCTTCCTTATGATAAGAGGATGGAGCATTTAAATCTCTTCCCGTTATCATACCGAAGGAAGAGAGGCGACTTAATTTTAGCATACCGTATACTTAAGGGTGATTTAGGAACTGACCTTTCTAACCTTTTCTCCCCTTCTAGGATACATTTACGGGGTCACCGCAAAAAGGTGCTCAAACCAAGGACGATTAAAATACGTGCAGAATTTAGATTCTCTCACAGAGTGGTCAACGATTGGAACTCCTTACCTGATTCAGTAGTATCAGCTCCATCGGTGAACGCTTTCAAAGAGAAGTTAGATCTCTGCAGAGATATACTTTGCAAGGATTAACACAGGCCACAAGAGCCTTCTATCCTTATCATCTGAATCTGAATCATTCTAGTCGAAAAGACTTAGTACCTCGTTAGAGATAATCTATTGCTTTGACTGCCTTTGACTTTAGGGATTTGTGCAGCAGAACTCCCTTTTTTTATCTAAAGCATTTAAGCACATAATGAGTACTGTTCTCTTCAGATTTAGATGATAAGGATAGAAGGCTCTTGTGGCCTTTGTTAATCCTTGCAAAATATATCTCTGCAGAGATCTAACTTTTCTTTGAAGGCGTTCACCGATGGAGCTGATACTACTAAATCAGGTAAGGAGTTCCAGTCATTGACTACTCTGTGAGAGAATCTAAATTCTGCACGTATTTTAATCGTCCTCGGTTTGAGCACCTTTTTGCGGTGACCCCGTAAATGTATCCTAGAAGGGGAGAAAAGGTAAGAAAGGTCAGTTCCTAAATCACCCTTTAGTATACGGTATGCTAAAATTAAGTTGCCCCTCTTCCTTCGGTATTATAATGGGAACAGATTTAAATGCTCCATCCTTTTATCATAAAGAAGGTGTGAGATACCACTAACTAATTTTGTTCCTACTCTCTGTACTCTTTCCAGGATATGTGCCTCCTTTTTGAAGCATGGACTCGCTGCTTGTATGCAGTATTCTAGATGAGGCGTGACATATGTTGGAACATGCCCTCGTCTCATCGTTTGAAAGCCCTTCAAAGTGCCCATAGCATTCGAAAAGCTTTAGCTGCAGCTGCATTGCAATTTGCAGTTGTTTTCAAATCATTGCTGACAATGATTCTTAGGTCCATCTGTTCGTTAAAATCAGTAGTTCTGTGTCCCCTAGGGAGTACGACGTGTAAGACTTCTGATCTAAGTGCATTACCGCGCTTTTCCTAGCATTCATTTCCAAACTCCATATGCTTGACCACTCAGCTGATTTATCTAAATCAGTTTGTAGAGCCGACCTATCCTCGTTATTATTTACAGTTTTCCATATCTTAATGTCGTCTGCCAATAATAATGAAGCTGAAGTAAGAAACCCTGGTGATTCGTTAACGTATAATAGGAATAGCAATGGACCTAATACAGTTCCCTGGGACACTCCACTGGATACTGCTTTCCATCCTGATAGTACACCGTTAACTCTAACCTTCTGCCTTCTATCCATTAGGTAATCTCTAAACCACTCACATAGGCATTGGTCTAGTCCGAAACCTTTAAGTTTACTAAGGAGACTTAAGTGGGATACTTTGTCGAACGCCTTGCTAAGATCAATAAAAACCACGTCCAGCAGATGGTCCCTATCTCTGGCCTCAACCCAGTCTTCCCTAGCCAATAGTAGGTTTGTCAAGCAGGATCGTCCTGGTCGGAATCCATGCTGTTCCACAGCCAACAAGCCATGTGTTTCAACATAAGCTAATAGCTGATCCCTTATAATAGTTTCCAATACTTTTGCAATAATGCATGTGGATGCTCTCATTGTTCTACGAGTCAGTAAAAATATAAAAAATTCCAAATTTTAATCACACATGCAAAGAATCTGTCTCCTGTCAATTCATTAATATTGATTTCTATTTTGTGAAGTTATTCTATGTTATAAAGTATTTTCGTTCGTATTCTGCAGTGTAAAAGACTAATGTATGAATGAATTACATGCCATGTTTTGGTTTGGTGTTTCAGTTTGAGAATTGGTTTTATAGACAACCCGCGAATCAATGCAAAATCTTGCCAATTCTTCTGAATTAAGAGGAAATACCACGATCTAGGCTAATTGGTGTTTTCAGCATCAAACGCCTACTTCTGTCACTCTTGTGCTCTTATCAAGTGATGAGTATGGAATAGATAAACTACCACTCAGCTGTTATAGTCAGAAATCAAGCGAGTACAACTTGTTGAAATGTCACAAAGAACCTTATCAGTGTGATTATAATCCTTTCAAAGAGTCGTACCGTAACTAAGGAATATTCCTGAAAACACTTATGGATGCGAGTTGTTGCTGCATAGTAGAAGTAAAGACTGATTACTGAACTTTGACATTTGCTATGATGCTCAATGTCTTTCATACATCTCTGTGTGTATGACCAACAATTAATGGCTATAGAAACTTGATAGTCCATGAAGGCTTCTTACTATCTATTGTGCGTTGGTGACATCAGTATTCTGCGAAAGACAATCGCCTCAACTTCTTTTATGACCATAAATAACTTTTTTGCAACCAGCTGGTTAATGGATAACATTCTTGATAAATACGTCAATGATTGTGGAGAGAATGACTATACTAAATTGTGTTAATTATTTGCATAAGATGTATTCTTCAGGATCTGACCGTTTTTTAAAGCTCTCCAGTTTCTTTATACTCTGTCACTGCTTGGACTTTTGGGATTTTACTGTTGACCTTATTTTTATCAGTTTTAAAATGTCCCTTACAGTTTAATAGTGAACTCCTCCTAATTCTGACATGCAGATGTATCCTAAAGTCTAGTGAATACTGACCAAGTGAGAATATTTCACGGTTCTAGAAGGTATTTCAACCTAACTGTGAGCTGTCGACACATTCAGTTTGACAGTTATCAAACTGTTATGTACTCGTCGCTAAATTATTGTTATGGACTGGTCGAGAAACTAATAGTCCTGACGCAAGGAGGCGGAAATCAGAAGACCACTAGGTTTGCGATGATACTTCTATTTCCAATACAAGGAGAATGCAAAAGTGGTATCACACCAAAGTGGTAAGTCAGTGTAAGTCACAAGATTATGAGAACGAAATATATATAAAAAGGGTGTGAACAATCATTAGACAGTCTTAACATGAATGGCTAATTATAATGAAGTATCGATCCATATATACATAGCGAAATATATCAGACATGTCAACAACCACCATATATGGATATATGTCACTAAGCAACGGACTGTCAACAAACACTCATATTATATAGAATATAATATAAGGAGAATATACATTGTTAAAGGAGACAAGTCCATACAAGTGAAATGGTCACAGACTAAGCGAGCAAACAGAAAGAGAGACCAACATACACACACACATAAATATATATATGTGGATACATATCACAAATATATATGTGTAGTAGGAGGGCGATTGAAAAGTACACGAAATCTACATTGTTAAAGCCGGTTAAAAGTAATATTATTAAAGTCATTAAATGATATGAGCAGAAAAACTGCTGTGTGACTATTCATTTTTTTGAAGAAAATATTAGAAGGACAGCAAGTCTTCACATCGAAGTTGCATGTCTGATTTGTCATTATAGAAACGAGGGTAACAGT